CACCTTTACTCTCCACCCTGTTCCCCTACTTTCCCCAACCTTTACCCCCCCCCCATCAACCCACATTTAACAGGCATACACAAATAGGACAGAAAAAAATATGAAAATAAAAATAACAAACACATTGTCTGGCAAATGCCAAAAAAGCACGGCGCGACCTCGAACAAGATGTAAAACAAAAATAAAACCCCAACTATACGTTCACCTCTCACTATCCTAGAACTTCTACTAACATATGAACTGAGGAGGCTCCCGCGCTTAAAGTGTTCAATTAGCATCTAATAAACCTAAACAGAATAAGTTGCAACTTAAACATATTGTGCACTTAAGGTTAATCTTGGGTCAATCCCTGAGATAAGCAAGATGTAACATCACAAGATTCTATTGCTAAGCAATGCCGGTCTAAACATAAACCATCAGTAACCGACATAGACAGCAGTACAGTTACATATTGTGGGTTAGGAGATGGGAACAAGGATTTTGATAAATTGAACGTACCCCCCAATCAAAAAAAATAATTAAAATAAAATAAAATAAATAATTTGAAAATAATTTCAAAAAATAGTGATTTACATATACATACAGTGGGGAAAAAAGTATTTAGTCAGCCACCAATTGTGCAAGTTCTCCCACTTAAAAAGATGAGAGAGGCCTGTAATTTTCATCATAGGTACACGTCAACTATGACAGACAAAATGAGCAAAAAAATTCCAGAAAATCACATTGTAGGATTTTTAATGAATTTATTTGCAAATTATGGTGGAAAATAAGTATTTGGTCAATAACAAAAGTTTCTCAATACTTTGTTATATACCCTTTGTTGGCAATGACACAGGTCAAACGTTTTCTGTAAGTCTTCACAAGGTTTTCACACACTGTTGCTGGTATTTTGGCCCATTCCTCCATGCAGATCTCCTCTAGAGCAGTGATGTTTTGGGGCTGTCGCTGGGCAACACGGACTTTCAACTCCCTCCAAAGATGTTCTATGGGGTTGAGATCTGGAGACTGGCTAGGCCACTCCAGGACCTTGAAATGCTTCTTACGAAGCCACTCCTTCGTTGCCCGGGCGGTGTGTTTGTGATCATTGTCATGCTGAAAGACCCAGCCACGTTTCATCTTCAATGCCCTTGCTGATGGAAGGAGGTTTTCACTCAAAATCTCACGATACATGGCCCCATTCATTCTTTCCTTTACACGGATCAGTCGTTGTGGTCCCTTTGCAGAAAAACAGCCCCAAAGCATGATGTTTCCACCCCCATGCTTCACAGTAGGTATGGTGTTCTTTGGATGCAACTCAGTATTCTTTGTCCTCCATACACGACGAGTTGAGTTTTTACCAAAAAGTTATATTTTGGTTTCATCTGACCATATGACATTCTCCCAATCCACTTAAGGATCATCCAAATGCACTCTAGCAAACTTCAGACGGGCCTGGACATGTACTGGCTTAAGTAGGGGGACACGTCTGGCACTGCAGGATTTGAGTCCCTGGCGGCGTAGTGTGTTACTGATGGTAGGCTTTGTTACTTTGGTCCCAGCTCTCTGCAGGTCATTCACTAGGTCCCCCCGTGTGGTTCTTGGATTTTTGCTCACCGTTCTTGTGATCATTTTGACCCCACGGGGTTAGATCTTGCGTGGAGCCCCAGATCGAGGGAGATTATCAGTGGTCTTGTATGTCTTCCATTTCCTAATAATTGCTCCCACAGTTGATTTCTTCAAACCAAGCTGCTTACCTATTGCAGATTCAGTCTTCCCAGCCTGGTGCAGGTCTACAATTTTGTTTCTGGTGTCCTTTGACAGCTCTTTGGTCTTGGCCATAGTGGAGTTTGGAATGTGACTGTTTGAGGTTGTGGACAGGTGTCTTTTATACTGATAACAAGTTTAAACAGGTGCCATTAATACAGGTAACGAGTGGAGGACAGAGGAGCCTCTTAAAGAAGAAGTTACAGGTCTGTGAGAGCCAGAAATCTTGCTTGTTTGTAGGTGACCAAATACTTATTTTCCACCATAATTTGCAAATAAATTCATTAAAAATCTTACAATGTGATTTTCTGATTTTTTTTTCCTCAATTTGTCTGTCATAGTTGACGTGTACCTATGATGGAAATTACAGGCCTCTCCCGTCTTTTTAAGTGGGAGAACTTGCACAATTGGTGGCTGACTAAATACATTTTTTCCCCACTGTATGTGCACACATACACATATACACATCCACACACACACACATACATACATGTGCATACCTACATACATACACACACACACACACACACACACACGTGCGTATATATATATATATATATATATATATATATATATATATATATATATATATATATATATATATATATATATATATACGCACACACACATACACACACGTGCACCCAAACACATACACACATATATACATACACACACACCTACATACACATACAAACACATGTACACATACACATACCAAAAAATATACATATAAAATAAATATTCTTAAATATATACAGATACATACACACGCATATACATACATACATCCATACACACACATCTACATACACAAACATTCATACCCCAGAACAATAATCTATACTAATTTAAAATATACACATACATAATACTAAAATGCTAAGATAAAATAATAATAAAGTACAAATAATTATTATTATATGTACGCACACCTACACAGACACAAGCACCACGGAGGGCTGGTGGGAATCAAATCGTGAGAGCGGGCCAGGCTATGACAAAGGCAGAACAGCACAAAGCATCAATTTGCTATCCAGGTGTCTGCGTCTGCCCCTTCCCAACCATCACCCCCAGACCCCTGCAAGCAATAAATACATGGTATGGTAACAGGAATAATGTAAGAATTGAAAAATAAATATCGAAACAAAAAAAAAATGGGCGAATAAAAGTATATCCATCCGAAAGTGTCAATGATCCGACCTGGAAGGCCTCCCAAACAGGCCTCGCTCTAAACCCAGTCGGAATGAAAGTGAAATTAACGTTAAATGAGAGCTCTGACCGCCCTCCATTGGTCAGCTCAGCGTATTACATGTTCGGTAGCCCTTGCTGAGACCGTTTAATACGGTTTCACCCGTTATGGTATAGTATGGATTCGAGTCCATGAGCAGACCCTAACACAATGACAAGGCACTCTAACCTGTACGGGGGATTGGCGTATATTCCCGGATAAACTTCTCTGCGTCCAAAACCGAGGAGAGACAAATATAATATAATATCTGCAAATCTTCTCCCCGGAAGGCGGGGTAATTCTTAGTCTTGCAGGGAAGAGCAAGGCTGGGCGAAGATGGAGTTTGTAGAGTTTGGTCATGACATCTCTGTAGCCAGTGCGGTGCTTTGCCACATCGGGCGCATAATCCTCATAGACACGAAGGGGTGCCCTTTATGTAACAGGTTGCCCCTCATTCGAGCCTTGCGCAGGATAAGATCCTTGGTCTTGAAACTGTGACAACAGATGATTACTGGGCGAGGACGCTGGCCCGGTCCAGGCACTGGGACAAGGGCGCGGTGTGCATTGTCCAGTAGGGGATCCGAAGCCAAAACATCCGGTCCCATTGCATCCTTCAGTAGCTTGGCGAAGAAGTCGTTGGGGCGAGAGCCCGCCTCCACCCCTTCTGCCAAACCCACAACGCGAAAGTTATGACGCCTGGATCTGCCCTCCAGGTCGACCACATTCACAGAAAGCCTCTGCACACTATCCTGCAATGACGTGCATAGCTTCTCTAACTCGTCGATCCTACCAGCGTTGAATTCAGAAGCTTTCTCAAGGTCCACAATACTCTGGCCCTGCGAATCGACCGTTCGAATGGTGCTCTCAATTTTAGTGTCCAGTTCAGCAATAGTAGCCTTAAGATCCTCCGCTATAGCAACACGTAGTTCTCCCAAAGCCCGGGTAAGTTCTGTAAGTGTCACGTTGTTACCTGTGCCTTCCGCCATGTCTGTCTCGTTGTTTGGTGGGGAGTAGGCCTCCAATGTGGATTTATTGTCCTTTGGTCGCTTATTACTCGGCATTTTCACATAGAAAGTTACAATATTGTATTAGAAAGAAACGTTTGTTGTAACAAGTGCCATAAAGTAAGTTAGGTTAGATTATTTCACAAAAAAGTTGCAGGAGCCTCTCACACACAGCCGTTCACTCCAACATGCTAGCTCCGCCCTCCGAAGAAAGATTTTTCAAGACAAAACCAGCAGAATACACCACCAGTGTTTTTATGGTTCACAATATTCAGCAGTTGTTGTTCAGCAGTATTCTGCATTTATTTTACCAATGGGGAAACTCTGCAATGACTATGGTGGTCTCCTTGAAAATAATATCTGCAAGCTTGAGGCAGTAAGCTTACTACCCAACAATAGCTGATGTAGAATTAAAAATAAAATCTAATAAACAACAGTGATTTGGGAGATTGCTGTTACTAGTGTTCTGTCACACAATATAACATTGTACAGAGCTGCTGCAGGGCAGGCAGAGACAGAGGCGACTACCCAAGGTGAACTACAAAATTAACTTAAAGTATAAACTCACCTAAGGTTAGTTCTTAATTTGAGGGCGTAAAGAGTATTTAATTTAAAATATAATAAAGATGCAAAATATATATAGCAAGTGGCTAGCAACGTGTTTTACCACCAAGGGTACCTCAGTCTGCACTAGCTAGAATTTTGGTTGTGCAAAAGGGTATACTGGTTGACGTCTCTGTTCAGCTATTACATTCCACTTCTTGCCACTCCAAAAGTATTTGGCAAATGACAGGAGTGGCAAGGAGTGGAATGTTAGCTAAAAGGACTGGTACCCAGACTAGGGTATACTCAGGATTCCATACACTTCTGATTATTCATAGGCCCCTACCTACCTGCTTTACTGACATGTTTGTTATTTTTTCCCTGAGTTACCTGTCTTGGGCTGTATGGAAGGAATTTTCCACACTCTCACCTGTGTAGAAACCTCAAACCCCCCTCTCCCTCCCTCATTGTCTGACATAAAAGGAGTTGTGTCCAAACGCTCTGCACTCACTCCTCTCCAGCCAGAGCAGTACAACAGCAGCCTCCGTCACCATGACCTCCTTCTCAAACCGCAGCTTCGTGGCCTCTGGTGGATCCATGAGAATGGGCTACCTTCGCTATTCCGGTGGTAGCATGGGAGATGGACATATCAGCGCCATGAGGGCCGGCAGCATGTACGGGGCTGCAGGTGGCTCTGGGGTGCGCATCTCCAATGCCTCCAACACCTACTCTGCTGGTGGTGGTTTTGGCATGGGTGGTAGGGCTGGTGGCTTCAACGTGTCTGATGCTGTCCATGTGAACGAGAACAAGAAAGCCACCATGCAGAACCTGAACGACCGTCTGTCCACCTACCTGGACAAGGTCCACTCCCTGGAGAAGGCCAACGCTGATCTGGAGCAGAAGATCTGCATGTTCCTGGAGGCCAGGATCAAGACAGAATCTCATGACTGCACTGCCTTCAAGGTCACCATCCATGAACTCCAAGACAGGGTAAGGCCACCAATTCCAGGCTTAGATACTATAAGATTAACCTCTGGCAGAAAGTACTATATAGCAAATAAGTAACATTGTACATTAGAAGATAGATTAGTGTACAGTCAATATGAAAATTATAGATAAGTTTAAAGCAAATGCACACTGGGTTTTTTCAATGACAATTCTGTTCCAGAACAACGTAATGGTTTATGTATTTTTAAGGGTGTGGTTGTGGAGGGGTTAACTTAGTTTGTTTAGGAACGGGCAGTTGCTCAGATTTGACTACTTGCCCCAATAATGCACAATGTTTGTGAATATGAGCTACATCAGCTCGAAGAGATTCTAGACAAAGATAAAGTAGAGTAGTTTCCTGTAAATTGCTCTGGATAAGAGCGTCTGCTAAATTACTAAAATGTAAATGTAATAATCCACCCAAAAAATCTGAGACATACCTCTGTGCCCTCTTTCAGATCTTTGATTCCACTCGTTTGAATGGAGGAATCTACCTGGCCATTGACAATGCTAAGCTGGCCGCAGATGACTTTAAAACAAAGTGTCTGAGAATAACTGATACAGAACAACAGCAGGGTGGGACTAAAGGCCATTTCATGTTCTGCCTAGCCAGATTATTATTAAAACAAATTCTTACAATAATGTTGAAATCAATCAGTAATTTAGACAATAAACATACACATGGTGTAAAGTACTTAAGTAAAAATACTTTAAAGTATTACTTACAGTGCCTTATTTACATAAGCTATGAGACTTAAAATTGAGCTCAGGTGCATCCTGTTTCCATTGATTATCCTTGAGATGTTTCTACAACTTGATTGGAGTCCACCTGTGGTCAATTCAATTGATTGGACATGATTTGCAGAGGCACACACCTGTCTATATAAGGTCCCACAGTTGACAGTGAATGTCAGAGCATAAACAAAGCCATGAGGTCGAAGGAATTGTCCGTAGAGCTCCGAGACAGGATTTTTCGAGGCACAGATCTGGGAAAGGGTACCAAAAAATGTCTGCAGCATTGAAGGTCCCCAAGAACGCACTGGCCTCCATCATTCTTAAATGGAAGAAGTTTGGAACCATCAAGACTCTTCCTAGAGCTGGCCGCTCAGCCAAACTGAGCAATCGGGGGAGAAGGGCCTTGGTCAGGGAGGTGACCATGAACCCGATGCTCACTCTGACAGAGCTCCAGAGTTCCTCTGTGGAGATCGGGTTCCAGAAGGACAACCATCTTTGCAGCACTCCACCAATCAGGCCTTTATGGTAGAATGGCCAGACGGAAGCCACTCCTCAGTAAAAGGCACATGACAGCCCAATTGGAGTTTGCCAAAACATACCTAAAGACTCTCAGACCATGAGAAACAAGATTCTCTGGTCTGATGAAACCAAGATTGAACTCTTTGGCCTGAATGCCAAGCGTCACGTCTGGAGGAAACCTGGCACCATCCCTACGGTGAAGCATGGTGGTGGCAGCATCATGCTGTGGGGATGTTTTTCAGCGGCAGGGACTGGGAGACTAGTCAGGATCGAGGCAAAGATGAACGGAGCAAAGTACAGAGATCCTTGATGAAAACCTGCTCCAGAGTGCTCAGGACTTCAGACTGGGGCGGATGTTCACCTTCCAACAGGACACCAACCCTTAGCACATAGCCAAGACTACGCAGGAGTGGCTTCGGGACAAGTCTCTGAATGTCCTTGAGTGTGCAGTGACGCTCCCCATCCAACCTGACAGAGCTTGAGAGGATCTGCAGAGAAGAATGGGAGAAACTCCCCAAATACAGGTGTGCCAAGCTTGTAGCGTCATACCCAAGAAGACTCGATGCTGTAATCACTGCCAATGGTGCTTCAACAAAGTACTGAGTAAAGGGTCTGAATACTTATGTCAATGTGATATTTCTGTTTTTTATTTGTAATAAATTAGCAAAAAAATCTAAACCTGTTTTTGCTTTGTCATTATGGGGTATTATGTGTAGATTGATGAGGGAAAAAAATTATTTAATCAATTTTAGAATAAGGCTGTAACGTAATTTTTTTGGGAAAAAGTCAAGGGGTCTGAATACTTTCCGAAGGTACTGTAAGTCGTTTTTTTGGGTAACTGTACTTTACTTTACTATTAATATTTTTTACAACTTTTACTTTTACTTCACTACATTCTTAAAGAAAATAATGTACTTTTTACTCCATATATTTTCCCTGACACCCAAAAGTACTCATTACATGTTGAATGATTAGCAGGACGGGGAAATGACCCAATTCATGTACTTATCAAGAGAACACGTGGACATCCCTACTGCCTCTGATCTGACAGACTCACTAAACACAAATACATATTTTGTAAATGATGTCTGAGTGTTGGAGTGTGTCCATGGCTATCCGTAAATTTAAAAAACAAGAAAATGGTGCCGTCTGCTTTGATTAATATAAGGAATTTGAAATTATCTATACTTTTACTTTTGATACTTAAGTATATTTTAGCAATTACATTTACTTTTGATACTTAGGTATATTTACAACCAAATACTTTTAGACTTTTACTCAAGTAGTATTTTACTGGGTGACTTTCACTTTTACTTGAGTAACTTTCCATTAAGGTATCTATACTTTTACTCAAGTATGGCAACTGGGTACTTTTTCCACCACTGCCTCTTTGTTTGCATGAATGATCAGTAACATAAAATAGCTGACATTAAAAAAAGTTAGAACTAAGAACCTTGTTGATGCATTGATGTTACAAAGGTATGAGAATGAGCTGGCTATGAGGCAGACTGTGGAGGCCGACATCAATAGGCTAGACGAGCTGACCTTAATGCAGATTGAGGGGCTGAGAGAGGAGTTGACCCACCTCAAGATGAACCATGAGGAGGTGGGTTTGATAAAGACCCCAAGCAGAGGCTATGGGGTGAACAGTGTTATGATTAAATATTAGGCTACTATGTGATGATGAGGCACAGGATTGAATATTGACCAGATATACAGTTGAAGTCGGAAGTTTACATACACTTAGGTCGGAGTCATTGAAACTAATATTTCAACCACTCCACAAATTTCTTTTCAACAAACTATAGTTTTGGCAAGTCGGTTAGGATATCTACTTTGTGCATGAAATAAGTAATTTTTCCAACAATTGTTTAAAGTCAGATTATTACACTTATAATTCACTGTATCACAATTCCAGTGGGTCAGAAGTTTACATACACTAAGTTGACTGTGCCTTTAAACAGCTTGGAAAATACCAGAAAATGATGTCATGGCTTTAGAGGCTTCTGATAGGCTAATTGACATCATTTGAGTCAATTGGAGGTGTACCTGTGGATGTATTTCTAGGCCTACCTTCAAACTCAGTGCCTCTTTGCTTGACATCATGGGAAAAACAAAAGAAATTAGCCAAGACCTCCGAAAAATAATTGTAGACCTCCACAAGTCTGGTTCATCCTTGGGAGCAATTTCCAAATGCCTGAAGGTACCACGTTCACCTGTACAAACAATAGTATGCAAGTATAAACACCATGAGACCACGCAGCCATCATACCGCTCAGGAAGGAGATGCGTTTTGTCTCCTAGAGATGAACGTACTTTGGTGCGAAAAGTGCAAATCAATCCCAGAACAACAGCAAAGGACCTTGTGAAGATGCTGGAGGAAACAGGTACAAAAGTATCTATATCCACAGTAAAACGAGTCCTATATCGACATAACCTGAAAGGCCGCTCAGCAAGGAAGAAGCCACTGCTCCAAAACCGCCATAAAAAAGCCAGACTACGGTTTGCAACTCCACATGGGGATAAAGATCGTAGTTTTTGGAGAAATGTCCTCTGGTCTGATGAAACAAAAATATAACTGTTTGGCCATAATGACCATCGTTATGTTTGGAGGTAAAAGGGGGTGTCTTGGAAGCCGAAGAACACCATCCCAACCATGAAGCATGGGGGTGGCAGCATCATGCTGTGGGGGTGCTTTGCTGCAGGAGGGACTGGTGCACTTCACAAAATAGATGGCATCATGAGGAAGGATCATTATGTGGATATATTGAAGCAACATCTCAAGACATCAGTCAGGAAGTTAAAGCTTGGTCGCAAATGTGTCTTCCAAATGGACAATGACCCTAAGCATACCTCGAAAGTTGTGGCAAAATGGCTTAAGGACAACAAAGTCAAGATATTGGAGTGGCCATCACAAAGCCCTGACCTCAATCCTATAGAAAATGTGTGGGCAGAACTGAAAAAGTGTGTGCGAGCAAGGAGGCCTACAAACCTGACTCAGTTACACCGGCTCTGTCAGGAGGAATGGGCCAAATTACACCCAATTTATTGTGGGAAGCTTGTGGAAGGCTACTCGAAACGTTTGACCCAAGTTAAACAATTTAAAGGCAATGCTACCAAATACTAATTGAATGTATGTAAACTTCTGACCCACTGGGAATGTGATGAAAGAAATAAAAGCTGAAATAAATCGTTCTCTCTACTGTTATTCTGACATTTCACATTCTTAAAATAAAGCGGTGATCCTAACTGACCTAAGACAGGGGATTTTTACTAGGATTAAATGTCAGGAATTGTGAAAAACTGAGTTTAAATGTATTTGGCTAAGGTGTATGTAAACTTCCGACTTCAACTGTATGTTAACGCTTTCTTCCCAGGACCTCTTGGCCACGTATAATCAGATGAGCGGCCAGGTCAATGTGGAGGTGGACGCTGCACCACAGGAAGACCTCACCAAAGTCATGGCTGAAATCAGCGACCACTACGAGACCGTCGCTAACAAGAACCGTAAAGATCTTGAGGGCTGGTTCAATGCCAAGGTAATAATGCGTCCTTTCTTTTTGGCCAGTGACATGTTTATGTTTTCCATTTACAGTCTTCAGTGAATGTAATCAGTAATGACCCCCTACGGTCTTTCATTCACAGTCAGAAGAAATCAACAATGTCGTGGCAGTCAGCACAGAGACCCTCCAATCATCCAGATCTGAAATCTCTTAAGTTAAGCGCACACTGCAAAGTCTAGAAATTAAACTCCAATCCCAACTCAGCATGGTGAGAGAAACTAAAAATACAAAGTTTAAAAATGATATACCTCTGCACTTACATCCAGTCATCTATAAAAGTCTCTCTCTCTCTCCTCTCTCTCTACTCCTCTCTCTCTCTCTCTCCTCTCTCTCTCTCTCTCTCCTCTCTCTCTCTCTCTCTCATCTCTCTCTCGTCTCTCTCTCTCTCTCTCTCTCTCTCATCTCTCTCCTCTCTCTCCTCTCTCCTCTCTCTCTCTCTCTATCTATCTATATATATACAGTGGGGAAAAAAAGTATTTAGTCAGCCACCAATTGTGCAAGTTCTCCCACTTAAAAAGATGAGAGAGGCCTGTAATTGTCATCATAGGTACATGTCAACTATGACAGACAAACTGAGAAAAGAAAATCCAGAAAATCACATTGTAGGATTTTTAATGAATTTATTTGCAAATTATGGTGGAAAATAAGTATTTTGTCACCTACAAACAAGCAAGATTTCTGGCTCTCACATACCTGTAACTTCTTCTTTAAGAGGCTCCTCTGTCCTCCACTCGTTACCTGTATCAATGGCACCTGTTTGAACTTGTTATCAGTATAAAAGACACCTGTCCACAACCTCAAACAGTCACACTCCAAACTCCACTATGGCCAAGACCAAAGAGCTGTCAAAGGACACCAGAAACAAAATTGTAGACCTGCACCAGGCTGGGAAGACTGAATATGCAATAGGTAAGCAGCTTGGTTTGAAGAAATCAACTGTGGGAGCAATTATTAGGAAATGGAAGACATACAAGACCACTGATAATCTCCCTCGATCTGGGGCTCCATGCAAGATCTCACCCCGTGGGGTCAAAATGATCACAAGAACGGTGAGCAAAAATCCCAGAACCACACGGGGGGACCTAGTGAATGACCTGCAGAGAGCTGGGACCAAAGTAACAAAGCCTACCATCAGTAACACACTACGCCGCCAGGGACTCAAATGCTACAGTGCTAGACGTGTCCCCCTGCTTAAGCCAGTACATGTCCAGGCCCGTCTGAAGTTTGCTAGAGTGCATCCAGAAGAGGATTGGGAGAATGTCATATGGTCAGATGAAACCAAAATATAACTTTTTGGTAAAAACTCAACTCGTCGTGTTTGGAGGACAAAGAATGCTGAGTTGCATCCAAAGAACACCATACCTACTGTGAAGCATGGGAGTGAAAACATCATACTTTGGGGCTGTTTTTCTGCAAAGGGACCAGGACGACTGATCCGCGTAAAGGAAAGAATGAATGGGGCCATGTATCGTGAGATTTTGAGTGAAAACCTCCTTCCATCAGCAAGGGCATTGAAGATGAAACGTGGCTGGGTCTTTCAGCATGACAATGATCCCAAACACACCGCCCGGGCAACGAAGGAGTGGCTTCGTAAGAAGCATTTCAAGGTCCTGGAGTCTCCAGATCTCAACCCCATAGAAAATCTTTGGAGGGAGTTGAAAGTCCGTGTTGCCAGCAGCCCAAACATCAGCTCTAGAGAGATCTGCATGGAGAATGGGCCAAAATACAGCAACGTGTGAAAGAGATACGAAACGTTACCTGTTCATTGCAACAAAGGGTAATACAAGTAGAAAACTTTGTTATTGCCAAAACTATATATATACTTATCCACATCATATGCAAATAATCATTAAAAATCCTACACTGTGATTTTCTGGATTTCTTTCTATTTGTCTCATATTGAGTGTCCTATGATGAAAATTAGCATCTCTCATCTTTTAAATGGGATGAATGGTGGCTACTAAACTTTTTTCCCCCAATACTATATATATATATATATAAAGCGTCCCTGGCTGACACACAGAGCCACTACGCCAATATGATGGCAGGTGACCAGCCTGGAGGACCAACTTGGTCATCTTCGTGCTGACCTGGACCGCCAGGGCCAACAGTACAGTATGCTACTGAACATCAAGACCAGGCTGGAGATGGAGATCGCTGAGTACAGGAGGCTGCTGGACGGAGACTTTTCCAGGTTAGCCTGGATCTTTACATAAATCATTGAAAAACAATGAAGGTCTTTCTAACAATATTGTCTCTGCCTCAACCGCCACCACCACCAATACCTTTTTTATACCTTGATGACAGCTTTGCACGCTCTTGGCATTCTCTTAACCAGCTTCATGAGGTAGTCACCTGTAATGCATCTCAATTAACAGGTGTGCCTTGTTAAATGTTAATTTGTGGAATTTCTTTCCTTCTTAATGCGTTTGAGACAATCAGTTGTGTTGTGACAAGGTAGGGGTGGTATACAGAAGATAGCCCTATTTGGTAAAAGACCAAGTCCATATTATGGCAAGAACAGCTCAAATAAGCAAAGAGAAACGACAGTCCATGATTACTTTCAGACATGAAGGTCAGTCAATCCGGAAAATTTCAAGAACTTTGAAAGTTTCTTCAAGTGCAGTCGCAAAAACCATCAAGCGCTATGATGAAATTGGCTCTCATGAGGTCCGCCACAGGAAAGGAAGACTCAGAGTTACCTCTGCTGCAGAGGATAAGTTCATTAGAGTTAACTGCACCTCAGATTGCAGCCCAAATAAATGCTTCACAGAGTTCAAGTAACAGACACATCTCAACATCAACTGTTCAGAGGAGACTGCATTAATCAGGCCTTCATGGTCGAACTGCTGCAAAGAAACCACTACTAAAGGACACCAATAATAAGAAGAGACTTGCTTGGGCCAAGAAACACGAGCAATGCACATTAGACCGGTGGAAATCTGTCCTTTGGTCTGATGAGTCCAAATTGTACTTGTTTTGGTTCCAACCGCTGTGTCTTTGTGAGACGTAGAGTAGGTGAACGGATGATCTCTGCATGTGTGGTTCCCACCATGAAGCATGGAGGAGGAGGTGTGATGGTGTGGGGGTGCTTTGCTGGTGACACTGTCAGTGATTTATTTAGAATTCAAGGCACACTAAACCAGCATGGCTACCACAGCATTCTGCAGCGATACGCCATCCCATCTGGTTTGCGCTCTGTGGGACTACCATTTGTTTTTCAACAGGACAATGACCCAACACACCTCCAGGCTGTGTAAGGGCTATTTGACCAAGAAGGAGAGTGATGGAGTGCTGCATCAGATGACCTGGCCTCCTCAATCCCCCGACCTCAACCCAATTGAGATGGTTTGGGATGAGTTGGGCCGCAGAGTGAAGGAAAAGCAGCCAACAAGTGCTGAGCATATGTGGGAACTCCTTCAAGACTGTTGGAAAAGCATTCCAGGTGAAGCTGGTTGAGAGAATGCCAAGCGTGTGCAAAGCTGTCATCAAGGCAAAGGGTGGCTACTATCTAAAATCTAAAATATGTTTGATTTGTTTAACTCTTTTTCGGTTACTACATAATTCATGTTATTTCATAGTTTTGATTTCTTCACTATTATTCTACAATGTAGAAAATTGTAAAAATAAAGAAAAACCCTTGAATGAGTAGGTGTGTCCAAACTTTTGACAGGTGCTGTATATCAATCATAATCTTTTGTGAATTAGGCCATAAATCAATAAATTAATTTCTGTGAAATCTCTTTTCAATGAAGGGATACATTTTCTGTCTGCAAAAACAGCACTGAAATTACCACATTACAATATTTATAATACTAGTATAGTGATTTATAACTGTACTTTACTTTACTATTTATATTTTTGTTAAATTTTTCTTTTACTCCACTATATTCCTAAAGAAAATGTACTTTTTACTCCATACATTTTCCCTGACACCCAAAAGTACTCATTATATTTTGAATGCTTAGCAGGACAGGAAGATTGTCAAATTCACACACTTATCAAGAGAACATCCCTGGTCATCCCTACTGCCTCTGATCTGGCGGACACACTAAACACAAGTGGTTTGTTTTTTTGTAAATTATGTCTGAGTGTTGGAGTGTACCCCTCGCTATCCATAAAAATAAAAATAAAGTTTTAATGGTGCCATCTGGTTTGCTTCAAGGTCCTGGAGTGGCCTAGCCAGTCTCCAGATCTCAACCCCATAGAAAATCTTTGGAGGGAGTTGAAAGTCTGTGTTGCCCAGTGACAGCCCCAAAACATCACTGCTCTAGAGGAGATCTGCATGGAGGAATGGGCCAAAATACCAGCAACAGTGTGTGAAAACCTTGTGAAGACTTACAGAAAACGTTTGACCTGTGTCATTGCCAACAAAGGGTATATAACAAAGTATTGAGAAACATTTGTTATTGACCAAATACTTATTTTCCACCATAATTTGCAAATAAATTCATTAAAAATCCTACAATGTGATTTTCTGGAATTTTTCTTCTCATTTTGTCTGTCATAGTTGACGTGTACCTATGATGAAAATTACAGGCCTCTGTCATCTTTTTAAGTGGGAGAACTTGCACAATTGGTGGCTGACTAAATACTGTTTTTCCCCCACTGTAATGAATTTGAAATTATTATTTATTTTTGATACTTCAGTATATTTTTGCGATTACATTTAATTTAGATTTTTAAGTATATTTAAAACCAAATACTTTTAGTGTTTTACTGGTTGACTTTGACTTTTACTTGAGTTATTTTCTATTAAGGTATCTTTACTTTTACTCAAGCATGACAATTGGGTACTTTTTCCATCATAGATATAAACATTAGGCCTAGGGCTATATGTTGAGACTGGTAAAACAAGTACAGTAGAGTGCAGATACTTATGGTATGTTCTTATGTATATATGTAAAGTATGCATGGTGTGTATTCAGGGCTCTAAATTGCGACCATTTTGGTAGCATATGCTCCTAAATACAGTATTTTGCTGTGCGACCTGGAATTTTTATTTGGGAGCACCAGTGCGCCTAGAAAAAAAATTGCACAGGTAATAATTTTAGTAATTATTATGCTTCACTGTACCGCAGCCTCCGAGTGAACTGTTCAAACTTTACCGTTCAAACTTTATGACCATATCACCAGTGCAACGTTTTTTTCTTTGACTGACCGGACTTCATTTTACATATAGAAATCATGTCGCGGCCGTTCTGAAACTACTTGCGGTCCGCTAACTATTTGTAAATGACCTTGTTGTCATCATGTTACATCATTAGCTAGATAGCTAGCTAACAACCTGCCAACTTTAACAGTAGTAAGCAAACATTTGGTGGCACAGAAACAAAGTAAAAGGGATACTTCTTCAAATAGTAGTTTAACTTGATTAATCTCACAACAGTGCTACCAATGAAAAATGTTAATTTAGAATCCTCTGTGTATTTAATGTTTGTATACCGCAAAGTATGACTTCTGTGTTACTTTTGCCAAAGAAAATGTCCACAATAGTCATTCTATTCTATATGTGTTGCACACAATGTATGCGATACAATGAGCCGCAGAATTTGTAATAATTTGGATTAAGTACTGCTCCGTCAATTCAAAATATTGTTATAATCAATTATGTGCACTGGAATGGCTGTTAAGTAAACAGAAGACGTTGATCATAGTGTTTTAAGAACACATTCAAGCTTCATGTGCATTTCTGATTTTGGTTCGAACAATGTTCAGTAACATCAATATTTATTAAAACAATTATCTAGATCACTCAAGGGAGTATTGCACATAGCTGAAGGAACATTGCGAAGTGACCATTAGGAGGCACTAAAGGGCACAAAAGGTGGACTGGTCTCAACATTGCCACTTAACCTGTCTATCAAGAGAAAGATGTCCAGACTCACTCAGATACAGTACATCCCCCACAGGTGACAAAGTTCTCTGATGGTAAGTAGCCTACTACCTGCACCAAACAATAGTACCTGTTTGGCCAAAGATGCAAGTCCTAAGAAAGATACGATTTTGTCGTGAAACAGGTTAGAATTTAGATTCCACAGATCTGGTATTGACTCTCCTCCCACCCATACCTGATTAGTGAGCCTTTTAATTTGTTTTGTTTTCGTTAGCTTTTGGCTAAGGGTGGAGTGATTTCACTGCATGTCATCTAGGTAGAGCCCCCTCTCCTCTCCCTCATTTCGTAGCATAAAAAGGCCTTTGTCCAAGACTCCTCACTCACTCCTCTCTACTCAGACCAGATAGCACTTTCCGTCACCATGACCTCCTTCTCCAACAACAGCTTTGTGTCCTCTGGTGAATCCATAAAGGGAGCATCTATGGGCTCCTTTCGCCACATGTCCATGTCTAGTGGAGGTAGACACATCAGCGCCACGAGGGTCGGCAGCATGTACGGGGGTGCCGGTGGGTCTGGGGTGCGCATCTCCAGTGCCTCCAGCACCTTCTCTGCTGGCAGTGAGGCTGGTGGTAGCTCCGCTGTCTACGAAGGCCACCATGCAGAACATGAATGATCGTCTGGCCTCCTACCTGGACAAGGTCCGCTCCCTGGAGAAGGCAAACGCTGATCTAGAGATGAAGATCCACCAGTTCCTGAAGAAAAAAGCCACACCTGAGGCTCACGACTGCTCTACCTTCAAAGTCGTCATCAACAAACTCCAAAACCAGGTAAGTCCACCAAACAATCCTCTGCTAAACAGGTAGCTTCTATTAAACAGAGTCAGACTGTGGTGAAGGGAATGGAAGAGGGAATGTAGAAGAGGTTTAGAAAGATGGGCCTTAGTGTCAGTATAATGGTGTGAGCGTCGTCATGCCCTCTGTGATCCCTTTTGATACAAAAGAATAAGCATTCAGAAAAGACTTGCTTGGATACATAGATTTTTTTTTAAATGAATTTGAATAGTGTTCATTGACATCAATGGATAAACTTACAGCCATTTTAAACACAAAATGAAGCACAATGTTTATATGCTTCCAACTCTGTTGGAACAGAACCCTCAGTAAGATAAAAGCAGAGTGGGTATTTTTGCATCAACAGTTTTTTCCTGTGTTTCCATTCACTCTGAGCCACATCCAAACCACAGGAGGTTGGTGGCACCTTAATTGGGGAGAACGGGCTCGTGTTAATGACTGGAGCGGAAATGATTGGAAAGGTATCAAATACATCCAACACATGGTTTCCACTGCCATTATTATGAGCCATTCTCCCCTCCTGTGATCCAAACTGAGTTTCCCTTAGGCCTATAGACCTAGGCCTATACTAAAAAGGGTTTATTTGGTCAGGAATGCTTAGAGAGCAAGCCTTAGGGAAAGGATCGTTAACTGCCAGATTTTATTTGCCCCCCCACCCAAAGTTTTCTGAGTCCGATTTTCTTTCTTCGTTTCTGGACATAAAAAACTGTAAAATCTCTAGAAATTTGCTCATTTTAATTTAGGAATGCTATTCCCAAGTATTTCCCCTCATAAATAGAGAGACATGCAGTATGTGATCGTGTACCAATGTAATCAAGGTTTGAAAGGATCTGTTTCGGATTCTTCCGTCAATTTGCAGAGTATAAATTATTTATAATTATGTTCCAGCCCCCCGACCATCCACTCAGTACAAAAATCAGCCCTGCCTTAAGGGGTAACATAAAGTTGGTTCTCATTCTGTGTAGTTAATACCAGGCACTGTAAAACAAGAATGAAGACAGGCTACCTCAGCCTGTTTTATGTAAAATTGAGTGTGTTCTCTCTTTTTGCATCCCATGCAACCCATATTAGCTGATTGCAAAATAGTTTGTTTCTTTCACAGTAGGTTTGTGCAACTCTCTGCACTGTCGTGAGCCAGATTTGCCAATTATTCAACCATTTATCCCAACATTTGTGATTGGCATTGTACCCGTCTTCTTTCTATTCCATTGTGACAGTGACATTCCTCTGTGCCCCCTTTCAGATCTTTGATGCCACTCGTATGAATGGAGGATTTCATGGAAAGTGTTGACGGCAAGGTGATCAGTGAGACCAAGACCAAGTGAGACACATCTTGAAACGGGGACTTCACAGAACAGAACACCATCCCTCTGATGCCTGATGTCAATCTTTCTCAGAAGCTGTGATTCAGTTGGGTTGTGTAAACTTGTGTCTTGGAATTTATATAAGCCCTCTGAAACCTTCAGAGAGATTTGTCAATAAAACAAAGCCCTAAATCTTTTGTTTCATTTTTGTTTTGATTTGACAAAAAAATACAAAAAAAGGTTATCCAAAACATAGCTGTGCGAATTAGGCCAAGATTGATTATATTGCTGTTTTGGTTGAGTAGGCTGTATCATGATGTCTATTGAAACAATAACAATGATTTTGTACACAGAGAAAGAATGATACAGTATACCGTACTCTCCCCTATAGAGTTAAGCAATGCCAAACAGATGAGCCTAGATCCTAACATAATATGCACTAACATAATTGATCATGTCACTTTCACTGAAAATGGCAAAGGCCTACACCATCGGAGGCTGGCGGGAGGACCTATAGCAGGATGGGCTCATTGTAAAGACTGGAATGGAATATATGCAACCGTATCAACCATATAGAAACCACATGTTTATAGCTCCTCCCACCAGACTCCTCTGGCCTACACACAGAGTAACATTGCATTTTTAAATAAACAGCTATTTTTTGCTCCCTACATGAAGTGTCATACTGTTTAATCAGAGGCAAGGCTGCCCTCTTATGCCATGTCATAGTAATGCAGTTCCATCACTTCTATGGCAGAGGGCTTCAAATTCAAAAGCTATTTGACTTGTAGGATATGAATGGGATTCAGTTTTATTAATCTGGCATGGATAGTGTAACTTCCAGCTAAACATTTTGTGGGGTGGTAGGTAGCCCAGCAGTTGTAGCCAAAAGGTTGACTATTCAAATCCCAGGCCAGGCGCTGGAATAAAAGTGGGGAAATTGATCTGGCAACTGGAGGGCTGCTGGGGTTATATCCTAACAACAATCCCCTACCGTACCTTAACCCCACATCATGCTCTCCATCCAGGGGTGCTGCACTGCAGCTTGACCCTGTGCTCCTCCCAACTGTGTGTCTGTATGATGTGTGTGGAGAGTTGAGAAATGCAGAGAGCAGAATACAATAAAGTTGTATTGTGTTATTTTAGGCCTTTTTCACACTAGCCTACTGAGTTGACAAGCTGTACTGCTCTGGCCTGGTCAACTTCAAGAGATTCTGAAACTCTGTGAAACTGTGACAGTCAGTTTATGAGTAGCTGTCCAGTGTTTCCAGATTTCTATGAAATATGACCTATAATTCATTAGTGAAATAGTTTTCTTTCCAAATTTCTATAAGTATGTTCAAAAGCAGCTTTTCTGTGTTGGAATAGTGTGGGCATACCCCAGCAACAGAATGGTGTGGGCGTATACCGGTCCATAAAAATATTCACGCGAGTAGACCGCTGATTGGCCAGCTCCTCTATGAGGAAATAGCAAGCATTTTTTAAACGTCTGTTTGAGATAAAAGTTTGAGGTGGATTTCTTTATACTTTAATACTTGCAGCCTGTATTTGAGTTGGCTTACCACAGACACATAGCTAGCCCCTTTCCAATGCTCAATCAAAGAGATTGAAAAATAATTTGATTTCACTCAGTTTGATGGCTTTACTTTTTGAAAGATATGTGACATTTACTTTTTATTCTTATGTTTGCTCTACGTCACGTATGTTTTCTCCTCAAGTCTGGGTTTAATTTAGCTTAGCAAGCTAACATGGCCTAATGTGTCAAATGTTTCTTAGAAGAAGATAATGGTAGCTAGTATGAAAGGACCATACAACATGGCAAAACAGGTAATATGACTAGAGTTCGCTACCTAGCTACCTAAATTAGCTAACTTTAGCTTTCACTGAACTGCAGTTTTAGCATGGTGCCCTTCAACTGTCATGATATTTGAATTGAACCACAGTAGTAAGTTCTGAGGATTTTAGCACTCGCAGTGCACACAGATTCAAGTCAGCCCATTAGAGTTTGACTTGTCGGCTAACTCCAGGGTGGGCCCTGGCCCGTGGGATAAAGGGATTGTTCACCCAAATTACGAAATGACATATTGGTTTCTTTACTCCGTAAGCAGTCTATGGACAAGGTATCAATCCATGCTTTGGTTTAGTTTCCCTGGCACTGTTTCCAAATGCTAACATTTTAGCATTTGTGTCAATAATCCCATTCAAGTCATGGTACTGATATTAGCATTTTTCACACATCATGTTCAAATAATCTATAGGTGACTTTGTTGAGCTTCACAGTCAAATTTAGATACTTTCGGATGCCAAAACCATCACAAAACCAGCCTTTTCTGGCTCCTCATCCCTCATCTCACTACTGCCTCCTCATACATGTGTTACTGAAACTTTAATTGATAAAAGGAAATCACCTTAAATATGCATAACAAGTGACATCACACTTCAGAGACTTTAGCAATGAGTACAGTATGAAGATAGGCAGAAACTGCTTCTCCAATAGAAATCTTGTGCATGTGCAGGCACTCCTTCGATATAGTTGTTTTTGACGAAAATGAAAATGTGTCAGTTTGTCACTTTCACGAGGTTGGAGTAATATGTTCAGCTACATAAGACATTGGCTCAAATCTAGATTGTGCTTTTAGATTTTGAGAAAATTAACAACTTCCCAACTCCAAACGATTCTGCAGCGTGACACGTTCCCGGAAGTGTAGCAATGTTGGGCCTATGGGTTTAGAAACTCTGTGACTTTAGCATAAAAATGTCAATAACCTATATGTTGTGCACCTTCAAGGGGAATGAGGCCATCTATGACACTAGGGGGCATCAGTGAGAAATATCAGAGGTGTTGTCAGTCAGTGGAGAGGAATCTACAGTAGAATGACCCCACACCAATTCAGTAGCAGCACTGCAGCACAATATTGTGCCAACATAACATACACACATAATAAAGATCTACAGAGATGTCAGGAAAGGGTTAATGGGTATTAGCTTACTGACATACTTTTTATTTTAAGATTGAATACATTGGGATAAAACTTTAGGCTAATCTTCATTTAAGGATATTATACTACTCCTCCATTGCAGATATAGTCAAAATGATATAGATTGCAATAATCAAAAAATTATACGTTATATAAAAAAACTTTGACTGATTTTTGGACACATTTTGTTTCTAAGTGTTGTCAGTTTGATGTCAATGAACTCTGCAGGGCATTGAGATACGGTATGTTAGTGTCATAAGTGAAACTTAGTTACAAAGGTGTAGAAACTGGTTTGTCACCTCTGTCAACATGATTGCTCATGTATGCAGTTGGCATACTTTGAATAGACAGGTCATACATGCTTGTGTTGCTTTTCTTCAGGTGTAGCCTATACGACACATACAGTACATCCTACTTTGATGAACGATACAAAACCTCTAAAAAGGGTGTGTGATGTTTTTGGCTTCAAGTTAGCATCACCCCCTGTTTCATGGGAACAAACCCATGAAGTATCACTTGTTGGTGGAAAACTACAATTTTTTCAGATATGGTGCTTGTGTAGTTGAGGTATTGCATGAGGTAGAAACAATCTTTGTAATCTTGAGCATTTCAATAAAATAGGCATCATCAGAGTTCTCACTCGACTCCAGAAAGTCCTGAAATTAAGTTTGGGAAAGCTTACAGAACCTTACACTCTAACCATAATTAAAAATCATAGTAAACTCTAATAAGGACCTGCTGTAAACTGTTCTAAGAAGCCTTTTAAAACTTTAACCTTTGTGAACAAGATATTTCTTGCAACTGATTGTCTTTTCGCTGTCTTGTTTCCTGAGAGAGGTGACCTCACCCTTTCTCACTTATTAATTCTGCTACAAACATAACAAATTTAAATAGGAATTCCAAACTCCAATCTGCACTCTTGTGGTTTTGCATCCAAGATAATCAATATTCAAATTCGTTAGCCAACAACACAGAATACATTTCTATCGGACTAACTTTCAAAAAGTGTTTTTTAAATCCAGTCTACTGTACACTCCTTTATAGTGTAAAGCAATGTTTAACACGTCAACCAATTCAGTGTACACTACTCTAGAATTTTCACAGGACTTTGGATTGTGTCAAGTTCATTACAATAGATATGATTTGGAAACATTTACATTACATTTTAGTCATTTAGCAGACGCTCTTATCCAGAGCGACTTACAGGAGCAATTAGGGTTAAGTGCCTTGCTCAAGGGCACATTAACGTCATTTAGCAGACGCTCTTAGCCAGAGTGACTCACAAATTGGTGCGTTCACCCTATAGCCAGTGGGATAACCACTTTACAATTTGGGGGGGGGGGGGGGGGGGGGGGGGGGGTTAGAAGGAATACTTTATCCTATCCCAGGTATTCCTTAAAGAGGTGGGGTTTCAAATGTCTCCGGAAGGTGGTGAGTGACTCCGCTGTCCTGGCGTCGTGAGGGAGCTTGTTCCACCATTGGGGTGCCAGAGCAGCGAACAGTTTTGACTGGACTGAGCGGGAGCTATGCTTCCGCAGAGGAAGGGGAGCCAGCAGGCCAGAGGTGGATGAACGCAATGCCCTCGTTTGGGTGTAGGGACTGATCAGAGCCTGAAGGTACAGAGGTGCCGTTCCCCTCACTGCTCCATAGGCAAGCACCATGGTCTTGTAGCGGATGCGAGCTTCAACTGGAAGCCAGTGGAGTGTGCGGAGGAGGGGGGGTGACGTGAGAGAACTTGGGAAGGTTGAACACCAGACGGGCTGCGGCATTCTGGATGAGTTGTAGGGGTTTAATGGCACAGGCAGGGAGGCCAGCCAACAGCGAGTTGCAGTAGTCCAGACGGGAGATGACAAGTGCCTGGATTAGGACCTGTGCCGCTTCCTGTGTAAGGCAGGGTCGTACTCTCCGAATGTTGTAGAGCATGAACCTGCAGGAGCGGGTCACCGCCTTGATGTTGGCGGAGAACGACAGGGTGTTGTCCAGGGTCACGCCTAGGCTCTTCGCACTCTGGGAGGAGGACACAGCGGAGTTGTCAACCGTGATGGCGAGATCATGGAAGGGGCAGTCCTTCCCCGGGAGGAAGAGCAGCTCCGTCTTGCCAGGGTTCAGCTTGAGGTGGTGATCCGTCATCCATACTGATATGTCTGCCAGACATGCAGAGATGCGATTCGCCACCTGGTTATCAGAAGGGGGAAAGGAGAAGATTAGTTGTGTATCGTCAGCGTAGCAATGATAGGAAAGGCCATGTGAGGATATGACAGAGCCAAGTGACTTGGTGTATAGGGAGAAAAGGAGAGGGCCTAGAACTGAGCCCTGGGGGACACCAGTGGTGAGAGCACGTGGTGCGGAGACAGCTTCTCGCCATGCCACTTGGTAGGAGCGACCGGTCAGGTAGGACGCAATCCAGGAGTGAGCCGCGCCGGAGATGCCCAGCTCGGAGAGGGTGGAGAGGAGGATCTGATGGTTCACAGTATCAAAGGCAGCAGACAGGTATAGAAGGACAAGAGCAGAGGAGAGAGAGTTAGCTTTAGCGGTGCGGAGAGTCTCCGTGACACAGAGAAGAGCAGTCTCAGTTGAATGACCAGTCCTGAAACCTGATTGGTTTGGATCAAGAAGGTCATTCTGAGAGAGATAGCAAGAGAGTTGGCTAAAGACGGCACGCTCAATAGTTTTGGAAAGAAAAGAAAGAAGGGATACTGGTCTGTAGTTGTTGACATCAGTGGGGTCGAGTGTTGGTTTTTTGAGAAGGGGAGCAACTCTCGCTCTCTTGAAGACGGAAGGGACATGGCCAGCGGTCAAGGATGAGTTGATCAGCGAGGTGAGGTAGGGGAGAAGGTCACCGGAGATGGTCTGGAGAAGGGAGGAGGGGATGGGGTCAAGCGGGCAGGTTGTTGGGCGGCCTGCAGTCACAAGTCGCAGGATTTTATCTGGAGAGAGAGGGGAGAAAGAAGTCAAAGCATAGGGTAGGGCAGTGTGAGCAGGACCAGCAGTGTCATTAGACTTAACAAACGAGGATCGGATGTCGTCAACCTTCTTTTCAAAGTGGTTGACGAAGTCATCCACAGAGAGAGAGGAGGGGGGGGGGGGGGGGGGGGGGGGGGATTCAGGAGGGAGGAAAATGTGGCAAAGAGCTTCCTAGGGTTAGAGGCAGATGCTTGGAATTTAGAGTGGTAGAAGGTGACCTTAGCAGCAGAAACAGATGAAGAAAATGTAGAGAGGAGGGAGTGAAAAGATGCCAGGTCGGCAGGGACCTGACATTATTGATTGTTTGTGTAGGTGGAGTTCTCACATACAGTAATGTGTCATCCTTGTCTCACCCTAGTATTAGTCTAAAGAGCAAGTAAGGCCTCAAGGCTGTCAGGTCATCATAATTACCAGTGCTACAGTTAGGGATTACTTTCAAATGTCATCTGTTTCTCAACAGTCATAAATTATAATTTTATGACTTGTTTGCATTGGTGACCTTCAATGGAAAAAACTGTCTAAAATCAACAATTACTTTTGTCGGCTGAACAGGTTTGAATCTTAACTATTTTGGAATGAATGCCTGGTGTGCCCTTTTAAAGTATGTAATTACTGTATTGAGTTCAAGTGTTGTCTGTATCCTCCTCTCCTCTCACAGCATAAAAGGAGCTTAGACCAACTGCTCTGCACTCACCTTTCTCCAGCCAGAGCAGTAAGACATCAGCAGACTCCATCAACATGTCCTTCTCCAGCAGCAGCTTCAGATCCTCCTCAGGTGGATCCATGAGGGGCTCATCTATGGGATCCTCACGTATGTCCATGTCTGGAGGTGGTGGCATGTCCATGTCTGGTGGTGGCAGCCGCATCAGTGGCAGCGTGTACGGGGGTGCTGGTGGCTCTGGGGTGCGCATCTCCAGTGCCAAAGCCTCCAAGTCCTTCTCTGCTGGTGGTGCTGGCTTTGGTGGAGGCTCCAGCTTCAGTATGTCTGGTGGAGGAAGTGACAGCCATGTCATCGGCAACGAGAAGTTCTGCATGCAGAACCTGAACGACCGTCTGGCCACCTACCTGGCCAAAGTCCACACCCTGGAGAAGGCCAACGCTGAGCTGGAGCTGAAGATCCGCCAGTTCCTCGAGGCCAAGACCTCCCCCACTGCTCGCGACTATGGTTCATCCCATGTCATCATCAGTGACCTCCAATCCAAGGTAGGCTATTGTATGCCAGCATTGTTACACCACATATTGAAAAAGTTGCACTATGTATTTTATTTCTAATTTAAAACAACAACAAAAAGTATTAATTTTCTTTTCAGATACAGGAAGCCATCCGTATGAATGGTGCAGTCCATCTCAGCATTGACAATGCCAGGCTTACCTCTGAAGACTTCAAAATGAAGTGAGTTCACTCACCAAATGCCAAATATTTTGTCCACTCACTCAGACAAATATTATGACTCAATTCCAGAAAAGTAACCGACTGATTAGAGTCTAGTGTACAAATAAAAATATTGATGCCATCTGTCATGTAAAAAAGCTCACACTGTGAAATAGCTCACAATCAATGATTATGATTGACTGTGAGCTTTTTACATGACTCTGTCAACCTAATAGACTGACAGAGCAAGTTGAGACACACTGGTACACTGTAAATAATGTCATGCTTTATGATGTAGGTATGAGATCGAGCTGTCCATGCGTCAGTCAGTGGAAGCAGACATCGCTGGGCTGAGGAGAGTTCTGGAAGAGCTGAATATGTCCAAGAAGGACCTGAGCATGCAGATCGAGGGGCTGAGAGAGGAGTTGGTCTTCCTCAAGAAAAACCATGAGGAGGTAGGGTTCTACTTTTCCTTTTTCTGATTCCCATACTTATGGAGGACTAAAAGTGCCACAATTAAATAAATAAATACACCATTAAATAATTACTTAAATGTGTCATTAATTAATTCAAATTTGAATTAAATACATAAATGTGTTATTAAATGTGTCATTAATTAATTCAAATACCGATTCATTTTATGTAAAATACATATATAATAATTTCACTATTTACATTTACATTTCATGGTCCTGCGTTGCAGTGATTCATGAATTACTTAAAACTGTCAAACTGACCCATCAAAAGTTGGTAGGCGGAACCTAACGCCTGATTGGTTACCCTCTGCATCAAGCCAAGACAAATCAATTCCGGATAATGGATTGATGCAGAGCTACTGAACACATTCCAATACACTGGGTGGCGCTATTCACCTCTACATTGGTTTAGTTACACGGTTAAACAGAACTTTCATTGCAACGGCTAAAAATCAAGAGAAGACTCGGTCCTGCTAGCCCCAATGTTGAGACGCTGTGTGAGGTGCAGTTTGAATTAATTAATGACACATTTAATAACACATTTATGTATTTAATTCAAATTTTAATTAATTAATGACACATTTAAGTAATTATTTAATGGTGTATTTATTTATTTAATTGTGGCACTTTTAGTCCTCCATAGGTACCAGGTACTTTTTTTCGTAATGGAAAACCAAAAAAGGCAAGGCGAGGCGAGTAGGTACCATGTAATGGAAAAGCACCATTAGATTTTGAAGAAGTGTAATATCGTTACATGGTAAGTTTAGTCTTTTCCTGGTTTCAAAGGCTGCATTACAGTAAAGTGATGTCATTTTCTGAACTTACCAGACTGTTCTAGCTGTTCTATTATTTGCCTTTTACCACTTAGTCATTATATCCACAATATGATAGTTATTTATCCGAAATCTAAATGTGGAAGATATTTTGTGAATGCACCAATTGTCAACCTTACAATATCGTTACAATATCGACATCAAGGTGTTAGGTCAAAAATGTGATATTTGATTTTCTCCATATTGCCCAGCCCTAATGTCAATGCATACACAGTTCAGATGAATTGACACAAGTTCAGTGTCTTTGAAAACATTAACACACTGTGCAGTAGTTTACTTTTTTTTCTTCCATTTACTAAAATCAAACTGTTCTGCACCTTCAGTGCTAACAGTACAGCATTCATGTTAGTCATTCTGTGGACCATAATGAGACAGGAAGCTTCAAAGAAACAGCTTTTTTTCCTTTCTTTTAAAAGGAAAGTAAACTTTCAGTTTTTCCTTGCTTGTTCTAACACAACAAATAAAAACATGGGTTGGACATCAGTCTAAGATTCTTGATAACACTTCCACAGTCTCTACATATAGTCTAAGTGCATCAGTAACAGAAACTCCTGGAGCTGGCAAAATTGCAACCTCTTCATCTGAGAGCTCACGGGCCAGCTGAACCTCGGGGACTGACACAGTGCCTCGATGAAGGCAGTGAGGTCCGTTCCAATCGATCCCATATTCTTCAGGAACCTGAATGGATGACAAGCATAATCAGTCTTGTACTTAAAACTAGTTTGACATGTCCTTACACAAGATTGTTATTTTTGGTCACCAAGGCAGTGAGAAATTAAATGTTACTTATTCAGTTTTTTTAAATAATACAGCTTTGCATAGTATGCACTGTAGAAACTACAGCTCACAGGTTGATCTTTAAAAGCTCGGGAGATTTTAAAGAGACAATAATCTATAGTAAATGTTTCATTTAAAGTATCACATTTAGCACCATTTTTTTCTCCCATAATTCCTTTGGGGAAACAATTTTAAGAAAGTGTTTAAAGTTCATTGTTAACCTCAGTAGGATCCTCCTCAGGGCCTTGCTCTCTGTAACTTCTCCAGAGTTGCTGTGGTGACTGATTCCTTTCAGTTCTAAGACCGTGGAAGTTCCAAGCATCTCGAAAAGAGTCGAGGCTTTGCTGAACCAGTGGAAGGAAAATCCGGTGCAGAGCGAAAAGATGGACTTCATTGTCTGGATTCAGTGTCTCCTGATCTTCCAATGAAGTAAAGATCTGATAGAAGAGGTCCAGGGCATGTTCATAAACATCTCTCCACATCCTCTCTATTCTGTGTTTAGGATAAAATTGAGAAATTGTTAATTTATGACATATGCTAAAGTACATTCAACTAGTATGTTAGTTGTGTGAGCCTAGTTGCCAAACATATTTCTTTACCGCTGATTGTGGACACTTCTGCCTGTGATGTGTGAATTCCTGTCGGTACCTCTGCTTCTGATCATGAATTCTGCTACATCTGCATTCTCCCCCCCTTTGTCAGACCGTACCCTTGATGGCAGCCCATACTGCTCAACAGCGGCGATAAAGCTCTGTAAGACCGTATGAGCTCTATTATTGCCGGCCACAGTCAGGTAGACCACTAAACGACTGAATCCATCCACCCCACCGTGGACAACAAATCTCCACCTGTTGCAAACACATGAAAAAATATAACTTTATTGTATAACAATTGTAATGAAACATAGAAAGATGCATTGTTTATCTGCTAATATCACTGACCTGATAAGCTTATGGTGGCCATCTATATGCCACAAAGAGTTTGGGCCAGGAACAAAATACTGCCGTCGCCTTAATACACGCAGCCTCAGACGTCTCATGTAGACTCCCTCTGCATTGACTCTGCGTAAAGACTCTTGCAGTCTTGAGACTGAGGGGAGGAATTTAAAATGAATAACCACACACTCACTGGCTACTTATTTTGAGGATATAGTGGTGTCATAATAAAATAAATAATGTGTGTAAAACAGTCAACTATTACAGAACCACCACAGCTTCAAAAATGTACTTTACTGTCAGATATTGTACATATACATACATACATACATACACATATATATACACATATATAAAAATTATATATACATATACATATATATATATATATATACACACATACATATACATACATACATACATACATATATTTATATATATATACATACATATACATACATATATATACATACATACATATATTTATATATATATATTTATATATATATATATACATACACACATATATATACATATATATACACATATACATATACATATATATACACACATATATAGATAGATAGATAGATAGATAGATAGATAGATAGATAGATAGATAGATAGATAGATAGATAGATAGATAGATAGATAGATAGATACCACATGCTCGAACAGAGATGACCTGAGATTTTTTGCCTCCTATGATATTTTGCTTTTCTATGATTATATTATACCCTTTACAGCAGGGGCACATCCGGACAGCTGAGAATATTACTGTCAGATATTGTTCCACCTCTATTAAACAGGAGGCTAAAAATCACAGGACATGTCTATCCTGATGATACAAGTCAGCCGTCCTGAAATGTGTGTTTCTCTTCACATTTCTTCTACACATTCTACATCTCAGAGGCGATGTCTTTCCATAAGCGGGCTTCCTTCACCTTTCAAAGGGGCAGAGCTCCAAATTAAAAATACATTTAAATAATGCCCATATTATTATCTACTCACTTGGAACATGCACACCTCTTGCATTCAGGTGACCACGCATTAGCTTGTAGCCGGTGTTTGGATGACTTCTGTGAATTTCACTTACAATACGGTCTAACTCCTCATCATTCACAGCTGAATAGAGATCTGTCTTTCTGTACAAACAAGAAAAACACAACATCAAGTAATGTTACCTTAAACGTCATATTCTTTCCGAGTGTATGAGAGCAGCAATTCATAAACAGAAAACTCATGAATTTAGTGTAAATACCTTAAACTGTATTGTTGCATGCGCCTCCTGATGGTCCTCTTTGACACACCGAACATCGCTGCAATTTGAACTGCGGGAACTCCACAAAGAAGTTGGTGCTCCAGAACTGCACTCGGTATGTCAAACGCCAAACGCCCCGGTCCCTGTGTGTGTTGGGCCTGAAGTGCCCTGGTACCAGAGAAGCGGTGGACAACTTCTTCTAGATTTGCAATCACTCTGTGGTCGATATCTTCGTCAGAAAGTGCGGAAATGACTCCAACAACTTCAATAAGTTCCTCTGCTTTACTAGCTACATGCTCTGGGTCAGCAGGTCCTGCTTCTACATCCTCTGCTAAGTTTAAAATGTCTCTAACCAACTCCCTGGAAAGTTCACGGAGATCCTCCATTGTCTCTATCCAGGTTGGCCTACTCTCCTTCAGACCAAAGCAATGGATCAGACTAGATTCGCGTTAGCCCCGCCCACTGACTTTGATGGGTCAGTTTGACAGTTTTAAGTAATTCATGAATCACTGCAACGCAGGATCATGAAATGTAAATGTAAATAGTGAAATAATTATATATGTATTTTACATAAAATGAATCGGTATTTGAATTAATTAATGATACATTTAATTACACATTTATGTATTTAATTCTAATTTGAATTAATTAATGACACATTTAAGTAATTATTTAATGGTGTATTTATTTATTTAATTGTGGCACTTTTAGTCCTCCATACATACTAGCCTATCTATAGTGTCTGCTCTTAAAATAACAGATCCAGCCAGGCAATACTGTACAACATTTTAGTAAGCAAGAAATACATCATAATAGAAACACTTGAACAAATCTAGAACCACTTTCTGAACCATGATGATGACCTAGAGACCTAAACCCGTTTCATTGTCCTTCTTCAGGAGCTGTTGTCCATGCGTGCCCAGATGAGCGGCCAGGTCCATGTGGAGGTGGACGCTGCACCACAGGAAGACCTCAGCAAAGTCATGGCTGAGATTCGCGAACACTACGAGGCTGTCGCTGCCAAGAGCAACAGAGATCTGGAGGGCTGGTTCCACGCCAAGGTAATACTGTTTCTCATTATAAAAATGATTCCATAATGTAGGTCCACATTATTCAAAATGTCCCATCAATTAAATTGTCCATGTTAAAACATTATTTTGGATGGTGTTGTCCACAGACTGAGGCGCTGAACAAGGAGGTCGCAATTAGCACAGAAGTTATCCAAACGTCCAGATCTGAAATTTCAGAAGTCAAACGCACACTGCAGAGTCTTGAAATCGAACTTCAATCACATATGAGCATGGTAAGACTGTTCAAAAATATTTTAAAATATTTATTTTGTTTCAATGTCTGCCACACATCTATTGAATTTGCTCAACTAATTCCTGATGTTTTGTTTTGCTCTTCACTTCTCCCCAACAGAAATCATCCATGGAAAATACCCTTGCAGAGACAAAGAACCGTTTCTCCATGCAGCTGTCGGGTTATCAGATGCAGGTGACCAGCTTGGAGGAACAGTTGGTAAATCTCAGGGCTGACTTGGAACGCCAGGGCCAGGAATACAAGATGCTGCTGGACATCAAGACCAGGCTGGAGATGGAAATCGCTGAGTACAGGAGACTGCTGGACGGAGAGATGACAAGCAGGTGAGCCAAACAAGCCTATTCTATTAGTTCATCAAATTGTATTCTTAAGCTATCAAGGGTGTTTTGATCCTAAACTTTGAGCAGGTTCTAGGCTAGGCTCACTGACTTTCTTAATAGCAAAACAGTGGCCCCACCAGTTTGTACACTACCAGTAGAATCATGTCCAAAATTTGCAAGGTCAAGACCTTGCTATATTGTGTTTGGTACAGTCGATTATGTGCTCAATGGTGTTTTCTGTTTGGTCCACAGTGTCTCCTCCTCCTCCTCCTCCTCCTCCTCCACCAGCACCAGGAAGGTCATCACTGTGATAGAAAAGGTGGTGGATGGGAAAGTGGTCTCCTCCACCCAATCCTCAGCTTCTTCATATGCACGCCACTGATGCAGTACATGAGTGTACTGAGGGAAATACAACAACTGATTATCTGACCCACTAAACATCCAGTGCACATCTGGAAGGCAACAGCAATAAAAATAATGCGTCTGAAATCCTTTGTTTGTTCAATTACTTTGTCTTCATAATAGTCGAGAATTATAAAAAATGACAAATTAAACGACTGCTTTTGTTTCATTAATGATTTCATGTGTACCTATTTAATTAAACTTCATTAAATAGTTTCAGTTGTGAGTGGTAAGGTGGAGCTCGGTGTTATCCTGATTACTAGGTGGGGTGTCAACTAGTGTTGGCTTTAGGGATGCAAGTAGATGTTAAGCAAACCTACATGCACAGTCCCAGCATGATAATCTAACATATTTACATTAAACATATTTACAGCACTCATTTATTCAGAAATGTTCATATGATACAATTACATTCAGAAATTCAGGTAAGAGTGGAAAGTTTGACAACCATTCCCGGTCTCCCCTTCATGTCAGGATAATCAGAAGGACCAGTTACTCCAGGGTGGGACCACCCAAGCAGCCAGGTATATAGAACATGAAATATGAATGGGTAGGATTTAACCCCCTAGAGTCTATTGACGCACCAGTGTGTCAATTTAAGTAACATATTAAAAAAATTCCCATCTCAATCCACCGCATCCGCCTATGTCTCCCTTCTGCATCTGCGGTTGAAAGTGGCAGAGCTACAGCACTGTTTGTCAGACCAGGAGACATCCCGAAAATCGGTCTTCTCACCAAAACGTCTGCAGCATTTGAACGGTATGCTACAGATATAACGGTATGCTACAGGCAAGCCTGTTTCTCTCCACAGTCAGAGGCAGCCTCCCTGTCTCCCAGACTCTGACCAGCGGCAGCAATCTAACCTCCTCCCTACTATGTTTTAGAAAACATATTTGTAGGCTGAAATTGTGGGGGGAAAGCACTAATCATGTTTATGCAACCTAATAATCACCCTTAGAATACTTCCAGAACCACGTTTATTTTTATTTCAAATTGAGAAAATCTACAAGAGAAATTGGCCCACCCAAGTCATAGGAATGTGACATTGCACTGCAGAAAGCTGGTTTATTTCTCCTTTATTATTATTTTTCTTCTTGATTTCAATATGGAATGAGTGCTGGTATTTGTACGTTCTGTTTCGTATTGAGTAAAAGGCTAATTTTAAGAAAAAAAAAGTACTGATTATTTTGTAACAATAGTAGCAGTTCATTCAAATGGGGCAGGCGTGGGGCATGGGGGTGCACAAGATGTTCCCCCATGATAAAAGGGGGGCATGAGTGAACAGATTCGGGAAACACTGGCCTAGGTGATTATGTAGGGCAGGCTATCAATTCAGCTAGATATTTTGTATGACAGTGTTTTTTGAGTGGGTCAATGCAAGATGTTGCATTGGAATGTTGAGTCAGTTGATTCACGGGACTGAGAGAGGAAGGGGGTCCCTCTGACAAGTCTTCTAGGCTCCTACACATGTGCAGTCAACGTGCTCTGTTCATAACCCTCAGGTATCTTAGCTTTGTCTTTGAGTTTAGTAACCATTTAAGATAGGCCTACTACAGAGGCTTGCAAAAGTATTCACCCTCCTTGGCATTTTTCCTATTTTGTTGCCTTACAACCTGGAATTAAAATGGATTTTTTTTTTGGGGGGGGGGGGTTGTATCATTTGATTTACACAACATGCCTACCACTTTGAAGATGCAAAAAAAATGTTGGGGTGAAACAAACAAGAAATAAGACAGAGAAACAGAAAACTTGAGCGTGCATAGCTATTCATCCCCCCAAAGTCAATACTTTGTAAAGCCACATTTTGCAGCAATTACATCTGCAAGTCTCTTAGGGAATGTCTCTATAAGCTTGGCACATCTAGCCACTGGGATTTTTGCCGATTGTTCAAGGCAAAACTGCTCCAGCTCCTTCAAGTTGGATGGGTTCCGCTGGTGTACAGCAATATTTAAGTCATACCACAGATTCTCAATTGGATTGAGGTCTGGGCTTTGACTAGGCCATTCCAAGACATTTAAATGTTTCCCCTTAAACAACTCAAGTGTTGCTTTAGCAGTATGCTTAGGGTCATTGTCCTGCTGGAAGGTGAACTTCCGTCCCAGTCTCAAATCTCTGGAAGACTGAAATAGGTTTCCCTCAAGAATTTCCCTGTATTTAGCGCCATCCATCATTCCTTCAATTCTGACCAGTTTCCCAGTCCCTGCCGATGAAAAACATCCCCACAGCATGATGCTGCCACCACCATGCTACACTGTGGGGATTGTATTCTCGGGGTAATGAGAGGTGTTGGGTTTGCGCCAGACATAGCGTTTTCCTTGATGGTCAAAAAGCTCAATTTTAGTCTCATCTGACCAGAGTACCTTCTTCCATATGTTTGGGGAGTCTCCCACATGGCTTTTGGCGAACACCAAACTTGTTTGCTTATTTTTTTCTTTAAGCAATGGCTTTTTTCTGGCCACTCTTCCGTAAAGCCCAGCTCTGTGGAGTGTACGGCTTAAAGTGGTCCTATGGACAGATACTCCAATCTCTGCTGTGGAGCTCTGCAGCTCCTTCAGGGTTATCTTTGGTCTCTTTGTTGCCTCTCAGATTAATGCCCTCCTTGCCTGGTCCATGAGTTTTGGTGGGCGGCCCTCTCTTGGCAGGTTTGTTGTGGTGCCATATTCTTTCCATTTTTTAATAATGGATTTAATGGTGCTCCGTGGGATGTTCAAAGTTTCAGATATTTTTTTATAACCCAACCCTGATCTGTACTTCTCCACAACTTTGTCCCTGACCTGTTTGGAGAGCTCCTTGGTCTTCATGGTGCCGCTTGCTTGGTGGGGCCCCTTGCTTAGTGGTGTTGCAGACTCTGGGGCCTTTCAGAACAGGTGTATATATACTGAGATCATGTGACACTTAGATTGCACACAGGTGGACTTTATTTAACTACTTATGTGACTTCTGAAGGTAATTGGTTGCACGGCGCTTGTAACGCCAAGGTAGTGGGTTCGATCCCCGGGACCACCCATACACAAAAAATGTATGCACGCATGACTGTAAGTCGCTTTGGATAAAGGCGTCTGCTAAATGGCATATTATTATTATTATTATTATTATTATTATTTAGGGGCTTCATAGCAAAGGAGGTGAATACATATGCATGCATCACTTTTCCGTTAATTATTTTAAGTTATTTTTTTCATTTCACTTCACCAATTTGGACTATTTTGTGTATGTCCATTACATGAAATCCAAATAAAAATCCATTTAAATTACATGTTGTAATGCAACAAAATAGGAAAAACGCCAAGGGGGATGAATACTTTTGCAAGGCACTGTACATAGTGGAAGCTATTGAGCTTTTGAAAGGGTTTGGTCTGATCTCATTGTTTTAAGTCTGGGATTTAAACACACTATCAGACTATTTTCACCAAACTGGGACAAAATAATGTAGATCATTTTTGTTATGATACTGTAAAACTCAGTTATTTTCTGCTGGTGTTAGAAAAGATTGATCATTATCAAACAAAAAAGTCACCACAGCAGGCTAAACCTATCTGAGCATAAGACCAGTGTGCTTGACCACAGATTAACACATCCTTTTCTCCCCCCTCGTCCGGACCACACCCTCCCGCAGCTTCATTAACCTGGCTGCCGCCATCACTGCCCGCAGGATGGAGTACTCTGAGAGCCGCATACTAGGGTGAGACATCATCACACACACAACTCCTCTCTGCCCCTCTGTCTTGTCAGCCCCTGTTGACCAGAGGCGATTCTAAAGCCCCACTTTCCTATTCTCAACTCTATTAACCTTCAGTTATCATGTGGTTGGATTGAAATAGACCTGAGCATATTGTATCTGTAGTATATCACAGGCCAATGAGTTATTTTTTGTGTATCTGAGCAGTCCTATGAGTATCTTTGGATCCCCCTATCCTTCCACATCCAGTTAATATGACCCTACTTAAGAAAGGGGAGACTCTCACGAATACAATGGTGATCTCCGTTTTGCTCTATGTCCCCCACAATATTCCCGGGACTAAAGGTAACCCATACAAATGAATGGAAGTATGGAGGTAGTTTTGTGGCAACAAAAATAAGGGGTTAACCTCTACGGGATCGGTGTCCCGTATACGGGACGGTTGAGCTAACGTGCGCTAATGTGATTAGCATGACTGTTGTAAGTAACAGCAAACTTTCCAGGACATAGACATGTCTTATATGGGCAGAAATCTTACATTATTGTTAATCTAACTGCACTGTCCAATTTACAGTAGCTATTACAGTGAAAAAATACCTTGCTATTGTTTGAGGAGATTGCACAACAACAACAAACTTAACAAGGCAACTGGTTTGATACATTCACCTCTGAAGGTAAATAATGTACTTACATTCAGTAATCTTGCTCTTATGTGTCATCCTAAGGATCCCAGAGATAAATGTAGCATATTTGTGTTTGATAAAATCAATTTTTATGTTCAAATGTAGGAACTGGGTTCTACAGTTTGAACCCCTGCTGTCTCTGGCTCCATGCCCACCCCGCCCGGCCATCTAGATGTGTGAAAGTTAGTGTAAAGCTAATGATCCATCATGTATGACATTCCTGGGAGTGTGTAAACTTACATTTTGTATTACCATATACTTTTTGTATGTTCTCAATAGTTATGTACTTGAAAATGTATCAATTGACCAATTTGGGACATTTGGGCAGACTTGATAGAAAATTGTCCAGCATTGTAATGCTTCACTGGATCAATCTGAAACTTTGCACACACACTGCTGCCATCTAGTGACCAAAATCTAAATTGCGCCTAAACTGCAATATTATATTGTGGCCTTTCTCTTGCGTTTCAAAGATGATAAAAAAAAGAACAAAAATAAAAATAAAAATTTTTTTTGTTTGTATTATCTTTTACCAGATCTAATGTGTTATATTCTCCTACAATAATTTCATATTTCCACAAACTTCAAAGTATTTCCTTTCAAATGGTATCAAGA